GAAAGATCAAAGACAATTTTTAATATAACTCAGACTGGATTCGTCTGAAAGAAGAAAGTCATATACATCTCGGATGCCTTGGGGGTGAGTAAAACCCAGCCCAATTTTCATTTTTGGGTGAACTAACCCTTTAAGAGTCAACCACGCCTACCTAAAATGGCTCGTTCTAACAACCTTAAACCGCATAAACATTTCATTACACCAAATACACAAAATAATGTTCTTTTTAGCAACATCATATGACCCCTTTAATGTTAGCTAGTTTTAACCAGAGATACCTTGCTGAAGCAGATGACATTAACATTCTGCTTGAGCAGATAAAAATGGTAACTTAATGAGAGTATGACAACACGAAAATTAACGTTTTCATCTTTCTTGGGATTGAATGCTTAGGGATATTTAGCACCGTTTTGTTTGGATTTAGGAAATGGAACAAAATAAACTCTATTGCCCATCCTCTCAGGATACCTGGAATCAGTGTTACAAGTACCCCAGGCACTTCATTTTCCCATTTTGGTATCATAAACACCATCAAACTGATGAAAGCTTCAGATCTTCCAATGTTTATCTATGGCGCTGAAACCTAAAGATGTCCGAGTTCCGGTCCATGCGCAACTGATACTCAACTGCCATTGGCTCATCTGCGTTCGAGGGGAGGGGCTTACTTTTTGCATGATCAGTTACATTGATTGTGCAGCCCTATTTAGTATTAAAGGTGACATATCATGAAAATCTGACTTGAAAAGTGCTATAAGTGCTATAATCAGGTCGCCGGTGCATCTACCAATCAAGGAAAAGTGAAAAGTGATTAACTCAGTAACTTTGTTTTGATAAGCTTTTTTCTGCGTCTGAAAAAACGAGCGTGTCTGATCTCGCTCCCCTAGTGACATTGCAAAGGGATCTCATTATAATATTACCCCTTAATCTGTACATTTCCACCCACGGCGCCGTCATTTTGATTTCGCAAGCGACAACGGTGTACCAGTTGTATTGCCATGGCTGAAGTTTGAGCAAAACATGCTAACTGTTCTGCCTTTGGCTGCACACAGTGCACAGAACACTGTTTAGAGTCCCAGCCTCAGAGGAGACAAGAGAGCAGTGGATTTATTGATTTATTTACTGTATATTGCTGCTGCCACACAGATCTAAAACAAACATGTGATTTATTTCCCAGCTGTTTACCTTCACAGTCATAACCTACTGTAACTCATGTGTGTTTTTAAAGTAAACTTGTGTGTGAATGAGACCTTAGTTTAGTATTCACATGCCTGTGACAGCCACTTTCTGTCCGTGTGCTTCGGATGTGTGCACCCAGAAAACTGTATATCAAAAGTTGAAACTAATATGGTTTAAAACGCATGATTTCAGCGCGATAAACATGATAATCAGAACTAAAACAGATGTTTTTTAGCAAGTACGAGCTGTAATGGGGCAGCTCTATTCTGGAAAAAGGGGCGGGGAGCAGCAGCTCATTTGCATTTAAAGAGACATGCTCTAATACAGCGTGTTTCTGCATCCACTCAAAATAGGCATTTTCAAAATGATATAATAAATGATCTGTGGGGTATTTTGAGCTAAAACTTTACAGTTACATTCTGGGGACCCCTGAGACTTATATTACATATTGTAAAAAGGGGCATAATATGTCACCTTTAAGGGTTTGTTCACAACCCTAACTCTAAAACGAGCAATGGAAAAAGTGATGCTTGACTTATCATCATATTCTTACCTTCATGTTGTTCTATACCTTTCCATATAACTATACAAATCTTTCTTCTGCAGAACAAAGTAACGCTGAACACTGAACCCCACTGACTTTCATGCATTGACATCAAATCACGGAGACATTTCTCAAAATATCATCTTTTGTGTTCCTCAAAAGTAAATCATACAGGGTTTTAAAACTAAATAATGGTGAGCTAATGAAGACAGAATTTTCAGTTTTGTGTGAATGATCCTTTTACCAAACATCACTAAAAAAACCTTTCAGTGCATCCTGTACAAATGAAACTCAAAACACTCACCAAGACATGCTGCACAACTTGTCACTTGTCTCGCTCTCTTCTCAGCATTCCTTCATTTGTCCAACCCAGTAATATAATAAAACACATGCTCAAATCAAGAGCGTAATCCTCTTGCTGGCGTACTGTTGTAAGCACCTGGATTACACTGTGTGTGCGTGTCTAAATCTATCGCTCCACTGTCTCATCTTTGATTTTAACGTGTCTCTGGGTTTCAGCCACCCCCAAAACAAATGCACGTTTCAAATCACCACATGCATCAGCCGCCAGCATCACAATTTCAAGCTATTAACGGTGGGGGATTCATGCGAAAGCAATAAGAGCGTAAAACCCTAAAGGGATTTTGCCATACAGGGTAATTAGAGCTAGCGTTTGGGGAATACCACACCCCCACCCTCCTTCCTTCTCCACATCCTTCTGATTTCCAGCCATATGGAGCAGGAAACATCACTCATCCTTCCATGGTGACTCACTCCAAAGCGGCCACACTCGCCCCCACATGCACCCTGAAAATACAGTCATGAACCGTCCACAATGACCAGAAGCGTTTGCATGCACAATTAAATGGATAGCCAGCCTTACTGTCGTGATGGATTGCTATGCAGTGGCCATAGCGTGCGTTTTCCATGGAGCTCCTGTGCGCCGATCCAGCTTCACTCTCTCCTCGTCCTCGTTCTTCCGTCTACCCACCCACCCACGCAGGATTTTTCTCGCGGAGCGTTTCCTCACATTAGCGCACGCAGATGCGCTCACGGTCTGTGTGCAAACCACAGGCGGATCCCTCCTTAATGAGGCGTGAGAGGTTAAACCGTAACCTCAAGCTCAGCTCTCCAGTGCGGCTGCAGCGAGTGCGCGTGTGCAGGGAGTCTAGGGGAGAGTCTGATTTGTATTCAGGCTCGTGCCTCCCTCTCCATCTCTCGCTGAGGATTCAGGTAACAGTGTGAGCTGTAGTGAATGTAGGTTAATGCTATATTCAAAGTGATCTGCTGTTGGTCAAGCGTGCCAAGCGTTGTTTTACAATGTCTAAAACAAATAGCAGCAGCATTGCTCTCGTTAGTGATGCTTGGATCAGTATTGATAGTAATGCATAGTGAATAGTCTAATGAATGACAGTGACCCACATAAGACAAATGACCGCCAGTAATTGGGGAGGGGTCATATTATTGGTTGCCAAAGGCTACAATGTTAAATAACAGAATGAATGAAACAACTGGCCATGCTAGCAGGTGTTTAAGATAAAGTCTGACTAATTGAATCAGAACTCCACAAAGTCTCCATGCAACGTTCCCTTATGCCGAGTTCACACTGCACGATTTTCAAACTCGTCGGATCGCCGTTGTTTTCACACTGCGTGACTATCTGGGGTCGCATTCAGTTGCTGCTGTGTTCACATTGCACGATGGATCTGCGACAGGAGGGTTCACACTGCATGACTTCACAATAGGAAGAATCGCCGACGGCTCTGTCTGGAACGCAAACTACGTTTCACAACAAAACACACGCGAGAAGTGATAAGGAAATAACGCGAGAACCCGCGTGCGTCAGACCGGAGTTCTCGAGAAAGACTGTAATTATTAAAAAAAAATATAGCCCGCAAATTGTCTGTGAGCTGATTTCCAGCTTCAAGGAGAAAAAGAAAAACAGATTATGCAGGAGGGAGATGCAGGGAACAGGGACTGGGTGTTCTGCAAAGAGAGTTGGAGGTAAATAACTGTTATGCTGATGTTGTGGCTGGTCAAGCAAATGTTTGTGCTTGTTTCTGTATGATATAATTGTTCATATATCTATTAAAATACTGATAGGCGGAGTCTGGCTGACACTAGTTACGTAGATCGAACGACGGAGCTCGTTTAGGAATTTAACAGGAAATGTTTGGAAACGGATCATCATATTTATCGGAAAGTACAGGCCGTTGAGCACGACTGCTCCGTGAATGGATTGGAGGTAGGTAGGTGGGGGGAAATGGATTATAATGAAGATATGTACGAAGGAAGTGGAGGGGAAAGGAGGGGTCGGTTGAGTGATAAAAGGAATAAAAGAGTAAGAAGTGACAAGGGAGAGGAGTCTGAAAATGATGATGACAGAGGGGAAACTTTTCAGAAAGAAATAAAGGAGAAGTATGAGGTCGTAATTAGGTTCAATGGAAAGAGTCAGGAGATCATGAAGAAAGTCAGCCCATTTGTGTTAACCACAACTCTGGCAAATAAAATAGGGGAGATAGAGTTTGCGAAAATCCTTAATGATGGTAACTTACTGGTTAGATGTGCCGATGCAGGGCAAATGGAGAAAGCTCTAAAAATGAAGGAAATCGCAAAATGTAAGGTGGAAAGTATGGGAAGGGTGGGAATAAGGAAAAAAAGTGGAACGATAGGAGTGATTACAGGGGTATCAATGAGTGTAACAGTGGAGGAAATAAAGAGGAATATCAAGGGAGCAAAAGTTGTAAATGTTCAAAGAATGAAAGCAACAAGGGATGGAGTGGTAAAGGACAGTGAAACAGTGCTAATCGAGTTCGAAGAAGAGATAGTGCCAAAGAAAGTTTTTTTGAGTTTTATGAGTTACCCAGTGAGGGTGTATGTGCCAAAACCACTGAGATGTTTTAACTGCCAACGGTTTGGTCACATTGCAAAAAACTGTAATAGGCAGAGAAGATGTGCAAGGTGTGGAGGGGACCATGAATATGGAAAATGTGGGTCAGGGGTACCACCAAGGTGTTGTAACTGTGGTGGTGACCACAATGTGGCTTTTAGTGGATGTGAAGTAATGAGACGAGAGACGAATATCCAAAAGATAAGAGTGGAAAAAAGAATCACATATGCTGAAGCTGTCAAGGTATCAGGGGAAAAGAATAATAAAGAGCAAAAAGTGGATACGGAAACACTGGTGCAACAGCAAGGTAATTTTGAAGGAATCTTTGTGAAAAAAATAGATTTGGTAACATTCATAGCAGGTGTGATAAATAGTACAGCGGAGGTTAAATCCAAAAATGAGAAAATCCAGTTGGTGGTTAAAGCTGCAGTCAATCACCTAGGATTAGTAGGACTGTCATGGGAAGAGGTGAGGGAGACCCTTACAAATCAGTCAAGTCAAGAGTCATCATGGGTTGGATAACAATAATAATGGTTATAATTTTACAATGGAATGCTAGGAGTATATTGGCCAATGGACAGGAGTTTAAACATTTTATTAATGAGCTAGATGAGAGACCATATGTGGTGTGTATTCAGGAAACCTGGTTGAAACCAAATTTGGATTATGTGATACATGGATATGCAGTAGTTAGGAGAGATAGGAATTATGGAGAGGGTGGAGGAGGTTGTGCAGTTTTCATTAAGATGGGAATTCCATATAGATTACTGGGGAATGGTGATGATCAGGAGTATATAATGGTGGAGGTGTGGGAAGGGAGAGAGGCTATTAGTATTATCAATTACTACAACCCCTGTAAGAAGTTGGAACTAGGTAAGCTACTAAGAATAGCAGGGCAAGACAGACAAAAAGTTATCTGGTGTGCAGATTTCAATGCCCATAGCTCAATATGGGGAAGTATACACACAGATGCAAATGGTAAGGTGATTGAAGAACTGATGGATGAAAGAGAATTGGTCTGTTTGAATGATGGTAGAGGAACTAGAATAAATGTATTAACAGGGATTGAGTCAGCATTAGACATAACGTTAGTGTCTAATTCACTGGCTAGAAATAGTAATTGGGAGGTCTGGACAGCATCCACAGTGGGGAGTGATCACTACCCTGTCTTATGCTCAGTGGGTGGAAGATTGGAAGCGGGACCAGAAGATAGATTGCCCAAATGGAATTTTAGTAAAGCTGTCTGGGACAATTTTAAGAAATGTAGTGATTATGCAATGACGAGGGTTGAGGTATATGGGGACATAGATGAAGTTAATAAACAGGTTACTTCTGCAATTATTAGGGCAGCAGAGGAAGCTGTCCCTAAGGGGAGAAAAATGATAAGTCGAAAGATGGTGCCATGGTGGAATGAAGAGTGTTATCAGGCGGTAAGAGATAGAAATAAAGCTTTCAGGATACTTAAAAGAACTCATAATTTGCAACATTTTATTCAGTATAAGAAGGCTCAAGCAGTAGTTAGAAGAACAGTACGCCAAGTAAAGAGGACTAGCTGGAGGAAATTTTGTGACAAAATAGGAAGAACCACACCTTTAGGTTTTCTATAGAAAAGACACAGTCGGTCTTTTTTACAAGGAAAAGAATTCCGGAAGGAACGAAGTTACGAATGTATGGAAGAGACCTAGAGAGGGTTGGAAGTTTTAAATTTCTAGGAATTTGACTTCTGGTCTTTCATTCGTCACAAATGTGGCTTGATTAAGAAATGTACTCAGAAAAGTCTGGGGTTCCTTTAATGATGTGCTCCTTTGACATTAGCCAGTAAGTGACAACCTTGCACAAAGCCAGAACCCCCTAATAACCATCTAGCAATGCCCTAGTAACCATCCAGAACACAATGACAATCACAGAGCAACCCTCCAGAACACTGTGACAACCACCTAACAACACCCTAGCAACACTCCAAAACACCCTAACACCGTAGCAACCATTTAAAACACTGTGAAGGTCCTTGCACACTAAGTTTGAAATTTTCATATGCATTTTGTTCGTATTCATCAATCTAAAAATTAGTTACGCACAGAAACCTTGCACACTGAGTCCGATGCGTATTAATTAGCCCATTGCCAAAAATTTCGCAAAACAATTCTGCTCTTCAAGCAGTGAGGATGATTTTGTTGTCCTCTCTCTTCTTAAAAAGAGAAAAAGAAATAGAAAATATTGGGTCCATCCAATCCTGAGATTGCGAAGAGAGGAAGGAGAGTTCCACCTCCTTATCAAGGAGCTGCGGGATTATTCCAAGCTATTCTGCAATCATCTGACACAATCTGTCTCTTTGTATCCTGCACTTTGTTTGTAATACAGTGCTTTGTGCTGCAAGATGAAGTGGATCAACTTGTCAGACGTCATTCTGGATTTTTAGCATTTGCTTGTACGGTGGCTCTGACTTGTCGAAACACCTCTCAAAATGCTTGCTATGGATGCAAAAAACGCAAAAAATTGAATTGAATTAAATAATAAATTTATTTATTGAATAAATTGAATTTTTTCATGACGGACGAAAGCTTCGGAGGCAGTGTGTAAAAGTGATTGACACAACGTGAGGTCATATTTATTTTTTAGCATGCAAACATTTTGGATGAGAATTTCGGACTCCGTGTGCAAGGACCTTGACAACCACCTAGGAACACCCTAGCAGTCATCCAAATCACCATGACAACCATCTAGCAATGCCATAGTTACCATTCAGAACACCTGAACAACCACCTAGCAACCATCTAGAAAAACCTAACAACCACGTAGCAAAGCCCTTGCAACCATCCAGAACACCATGACAACCACCTAGCAACCAGAAAACTGTGACGACCCCCTAAAAACACCCTAGCAACATTCCAGAACACCCTAACACCATAGCAACGATTCAGAATACTGTGACAACCACCTAACAACGCCCTAGCAGCCATCCAAGTCACCATGACAACCATCTAGTAATGCCCTAGTAACCATTCAGAACACCCGAACAACCACCTAACAGCCATCCAGAAAAGTCTAACAACCACATAGCAATGCCCTAGCAACTATTCATCCAAAACACTCTAACAACAACCACCTAGCAACCATCCAGAAAATCAACAACTTAGCAATGCCCAGGCAATTATACAGAACACCCTATCAACCACCTAGCAACGCCTGAGCAACTATTCATCCAGAACACCGACAACCATCTAGCAACAATCCATAACACTGTGACAATCACCAAACAACACCCTAGCAACATTCCATAACACCCTAACAACCATCTAGCAATGCTCTAGTAAACATCCAGAACATCATGACAACCACTTAGCAACCATACAGCACACGGTGACATCCTAACAACACCCTAACACCATAGCAACCATTCAGAACACTGTGACAACCACCTTGCAATGCCTAGCAGCCATCTAAATAACATTTGCCCTAGCAACCATTAAGAAAACCATGACAACCACCTACCAACCACCCAGAACACCCTAACAACCACCTAGCAAAGCCCTAACAACCATTCAGAACATCCA